CCGGCCGCACCCTGGGGGGAAGCTCTAAGGCAAACTCACCACCTCTGTATGAAGGGCTGTGGGAATCATCCATATGTCAACCTTAATTCAGGGCTCGGGGTTCAGACCCCAGCATTTCAACCCTGCATACTGTAGAAGAGAAAATAGTCTTTGAATTTGTTCTTACTATAACTGGAACATTAATGCATTGATTATTGGAAATCTGAGATATACACATGACAGAATGTTTGTTGTATTTCCCTCTCTTTTTTTGTTTCTGTTTTCCCCTGTTTCAAAATCATGTTCTCCTCTCTACTCCACAACTTGGTAAGGAATAAAGAATAAGGAAAACAGTGGAGATTTTAATGTACACTATAGCCTCGAAAATATACAAGTAGGGGAAATATTTTTACGATATTGTCTGTTTCATTCCAAGAATGAAGCAAAGAAAGAATTAGTACCGTTTTTGGAGAATGTAAGGAGGGAAACATGAATTTGTTACAGTGAGTAGGAGTAACTATTGATAGACTTTGCTTTCTGCCAACTTGTCTTTACTGCCTGTTAAAGATTTGTCTCTCTCTTTGGCAACTACAAAGAAATTTGCCTTTAATTGAACACATATATTTGAAAATTAAATAATGAATCTTGTTTTGCTAAGTGTCCTAATTTTGATAGGATTTTGTACCTGCTGCAGTACCAGAAAAACATGAAGCAAACTTTATAATGTGAACATTAAATATTCAGTCCAAATGTTAATATTGTGTTAATTTTCTCCCAATTTTAATGTGGCTGGAAGCTGACAATGAAGTCCGAGCTAAGCTCTAATGTTACTGGTGTAATAAAAATTATAATTTCCTTTGTAGCAACAACTAATGTTAGATACAAAATTATTTTCAGAAATCAAAGATTTGAGCCAATTTGGCTCAGGTACCTTTGTACCTACTTTATGATTCCAGGGAGTCTGAAAGCCTGTAAATGGAAGAGCAGAGTTTCAACAAAATTAACATTTTATTTTTAAAGAAAATTACATCTCATTGTGTAAATATTCTGAACTGATAGAGTAGGTGATCTTCTCCTTGAGATAAATAATCATAGCTACTCAATACCAACCAAAGATAAGAATGATTTTTCTTGCTGAAAGCAGTATTGGGAGCATATTACAGAAAGGTACTTGATAATGTATTTTTGTAGAAGTTACAACTAAATATCAAAAATCTTCAGAGTCACAAGAGTGTATCTGTGCAAGTTCAGTAACATTTTCCATGGAGCTGTACACCTTCAGCGTTTTTTTTTCCCCCTGATGTTTATTCCTCCTCCAGCTTCAACTTTCAAAAAGAAAAAAAATTCCAAACCCATCATGGAGAATTTAGAGAGGAAAATTTACAAAGCCTATATTGTAATTACCTTTTCCAGGTTAATTTCATAGGCCTTGCAAAAAATTAGTGCTTTCAGTCAGAACATTTACTCTGCCAGACTCCATCCCTCTGAGCAGCCTTTGTTGCAGATGGAGAAAGTAAATTGAAGGAAAATAGAAAGTTCATAAAAGTAGACTGATAAGGGAGATAAGAAAAATACTTAATCCTACATACAATATTAAATGTTTTTATTATTGCATCCCTTGCTAAAGCTTTGCTGTATAGAAATTGAATTTTGAAGAAGAGAGAATTTAATTCTACAGAACAGTATATTGCAAAATGTCATATATTTGCATCTCATGAGGGATTGATCTGGTGGAATAAATGTTGAAACTGAAAGTCATCTAGCTGCTTGTATTTTTCCATTGTTTCCTGCTGCTCCTTATTGTTAGTTCATGTTCAATATTTGTGTTCTGATAAAGTACTTTTTTCACAATCTAGAATTTCTAGAGCTATATACCTGTTTCTTTTAGCACTTAACTTTGTATCTAAAATTTCACGTTTTATTCTGTACTGCAGACATGAACTACACTCACAACAGGCCATTTTCATTATAGTAGCCCTGGATTATTGAACACTTTTAAAATGGCTTATTTTCAATAAAGAAATAATCACATATTCAAATAAATACCATGTAAAGACAGCTCACTGAATGGTCTCCATCAGCAACATAGGCATTAAAAGAGCTGAACTGATGTTGGATGGATCTCAGTAGCAGCTGTGGGGTGAAAAGAGAATGACCCATAGGTAATGAAGCTTTCTGTGAAGAATCGAAGTAGCAGGGAAAATATTCTCCATGCTCCATCCTTCTCCCACTTCAAGCACATGGTGTAGATTCTCTAACAAATGGACATTGTCAGGGGACACTGACAAAATCAGCAGTCTGCTTTCTGCTTGCAGGAAGGAAACCCTGTGTGATGAGCGTCTTTCTGAACATAAATTAGTACAACACTCCCAGAATCTTCTTGCTGAGTGACCATAAAGATGAACAATCAGATGAAAAATGTGCTTTAGTCAATACAAACCTGAAAAATTCAGTATATATCAAATGAACTATTTCAGTTTCATTCAAATATTGATGATGCTACAACCTCATCTTCTTCAAAAAGGATTTATAAATTAGAATGCTTATTAACAAAAACTGAGTATATGACTTAGTCATCAACAATATAGAATGATGTAGGATGATTTTTTTTTTTTAATTAGATAGCTTTTTGTTATTGGTTCCTTCAGGTAATCAATTATCACATCCAGATGTATACAGTAATGAACCTCCCAAATCAGGTATGATTACAGATGCAAAAATCTTCATTTTGCATCAGAGGATTATTGTGAACGTGGCATTTTCACACAATGTTTGTTATTACCAGAACCATGATAGTGCATAGTTCTTTGCTATGTTTTAAAACAAAGACAACTGAAACAGTTGTGGCCAGTCCGAGCAGTGAAGATATAAAGCCACTGATCAATATTTACAAAAAGGCCTCTTCAAATCACGTGACAATGTAATTACCACCAACAGTGATGAACAAAAGCAAAATCTTATGCTTAAAAACATCTAATATTTGTAATAATAATATTTAAATGTTCATGTCAATATTTTTATAAAGTTAATTGTTTACATTACTGCTGGAAAATAAACTTTTTTTTATTCTAATTAAACCCTAATGAAAAGGTTTGTTTACAGAATACAGCAAGTGTGGTATGCTTTTCATTTATTGTAATAAATGTGTTAGCAAAGCATTACTGTGATATTTTGACAAGAAAACAAAATCACATACATTCCTTTAGCATTTGGAATAAACAGTGGGAGAAAGGAAGTGGCATTCCTTTATTCTGTAATGATGCAACACCTAGCATACATCCCTGGTCAGTCCTGAAATATCTTCTACACTAGCTACAGGAAATTTCTTCCTCCTGTGTACTGATCTCCCTTTGTTCATGTGACTATGTTTGGGATGTCTCTTGTGCATACAGAGAGGTATGAACAAGCAAAGCCTGAAGGCTGAATTTCCCAAGTTTCAATATCAATGAAAAAGCTAGAAATAGTGCCTCAATATCTTTGCCAATGTACCTTACAAATTTCCTTATAACCAATGTTACATATAATATGAAGTTACATAAGTAAATAAAAAAATATTGGTTAATATTAGAAAGGAAAGTGAGTTTGATTGCTAGCTCACATGTAGCGCTGCACTGTCTTTGACATTTTGGCTGTTACTAGTACCTCTAGAAGCAATTGAAAACTACATACAGAAGATAAAAGAAAATCCAGCAAATGATTTTCAGTCACTATAGAGCTGACTTATTTTCACAGTAGTGATTGACTGATGACAGTTTCTGCACTCTCCTGACTAATCCAGAAATAAATTAACTAAACAGACCCATTTTGTCTTTTTTTTTTTTTTTTTTTTTTTTTTTTTTAAATTTTGGCCAGCATATCAAATACTGTATTGCAGTAAACATAGGGGCACTTCTGTATTGGAGACATTGGTGTTCAGATGCTGATAATCCAATACCTTATTCCAGTTTATGAAAGTGAAAGTAACAGGGTGTTTCCTCAGCAGATTTTTCCCTCATATATCCTCTGACAAAGTCTGAATGTTTTCCAGAACGGAAATATGAAACTTGGTGTCCTCAGCTTTCACATATTTCACAAAATCTGTGGCAAACTGACTTGGGTCTATCCCATTTAGAGTCTCACTCATAGACTTGCTGACTGTCATATGGAGGCTGGCATCTCTAAAGTAACGTATCTGGAGAAGAAAGATCCATGTAACTATGAGTGGTAAGTGCAGTCAGGGCAAAAGTTCAGTCTGACTTCCAAAGGCTGTTCCAGTGATTTGAAGGCTGGTACTGGTGAAGCTCCATTTTTAGGCATGTAGCAGTTCCCTACAGGAAAGTGGCAGCTCATGTAGGCTTTCTAGCCCGTGTGAATGCCTCTTGCCATAGTTCCCCCACATCCAGCATCACACCATGCAGCTGAGGTTTGCTGGTTACCTCATGCAGGTGGTCAAACAATAGAGAATTTGTCCTGAGGGTCAAAGAAGCAGTGTCCCCCTACTTTGCTGTAATGAACCAGTAGCAGAGTGTGCCCATTTATTTGGACAGGGGTGAAGTTCTCGTTGCACAGACCCACAGGCAGGCAGGCTCCTCCATCATTGGCTTGTCGCCTTGGACCAGAGTAGACATCTCAGACAACCTGTCTGAACTCCCCAGGAGGAGACTAGTGCAGAGGGCTGCAAATGAAAGATACCTTCTCTGGCTCATGCAGCTCCTGGCTTCTGCACATGCTGGGGCTGAGGGCTTTGCGGGGCTGGGGAGAGACTGCAGGCAAGGGGAGGATGCGTGAGCTGCTTCATGTTGGAGGGAGAAGGCAGAAGATGGTGACAGGGGAGGGGCGGAGCGGTGGTGAGAAGGGGCCTGTGCTGGGGTTCCACGGTGTGTGACCTCACAAAGGCACCAGGACTACTCTGGTGCAGGGCCAAGGGCAGGGGCTGTGCCAAGAGGGTCTTGATGTGCAAGGGAAAGGGCCCCACAGGGAACCAGAGCAAGCTGAGGTGACATCCTGCTGAGTGCTGCCAGTGCCACTGAGGTGAAGAGACCATGGAGGAGAACAGATATCCTCCTTGTGCAATACCTCTACCTCCGACTCCTCTTGCTGCGCTGCCTCCTCCTCTCCTCTGCTCTTCTTACCCTGTGACAACTGCCAGGGTGTGACTTCCATGCATGGTTTTGTCCCCACCGGCCTGGGCCTGGCCCAGGCACACAAGGGACCCCCCGGCTGGGTGGCAGGGGAGGGCCTGGGGCAGCTGCTCCAACCTGGCCTGGTCCAGTGGGGGCCGGTTGAGGCCGCTCGAGTGGGTGCAATGCTGGGTGGCACTCACCCTATTGATACTTGTTGGCATTCCTCTTCCCGCCATTTCCTACAGCTGCTGAACTCCCCTGCCTCCCTGCTTTGCCTCCTCTCACTGCACGCCTTTCTTCATGCTGACCACCCTTTGTTTCCCTTCACACCCTTCACTTCTCTTTCTCTGGCCCTTTTTGTCACCTTTGCCCTCAGAGTCTCTGGGTGTGGAACAAAAATTCCTTCCTGTGTGTCTCAGAGCCTGATGAAGTCTCAGAAATCAGAAGATAAAGATGTTCTAGAGTATGAAAAAAACGAAGTGCAAGCTTTTTAGGTTTAAAACCCCCAAACTTCTCGTACTCATCCTCCCCTGTAAAGAAAGGGCAATTACATAAGCCAGAAGTTTCTTTAACCTGATCTCTCATACATGGTTTTTGTCCATCATTCAAAATGAATTCAGGGCTGGAAGGATTGATTTAGAGAGCACAATGAGGCTGCTTGAAAAACTGCAAATGCCTTTTGATTATGCACATGTAAAACACGTTTTCAAGGTGAGGAATATATAGATTAAGCAGTTAGATATGCTTTGAAGTCCAGTTATGCAAGTGTCTGATGCTTGCTAACTTTAAAAAGTGTTTTGAGATGTTAACTTCATGCTAATGTGCAATATTAGCAAATAATTTGTCTCTTCTGGGTTACAAATGTAATTGTGTCTCTGTAAAATAGATAATTGAATGGTTGCATTAGAATAATTAAGGTTGGAAAAAACTTTTAAAATCACTGAGTCCAGCCATTAACCTAATACTTCCAAGTCCACAGCTAAACCATGTCCCTAAGCACCTCATGTACACGTCTTTTAAATACATCCATGGATGACAACTCAATGACTTCCATGGGCAGCCTGTTCCAGTACTTGACAACCCTCTTGGTGAACAATTTTTTTCCTAATATCCAATCTAAACCTTCTCTACTGCAACTTAAAGGCTATTTCCTCTTATCCTATTTCTTGTTACTTGGCAGAAGAGACCTACATCCAAGTAATACCATCTCTTCACCAGACGACATAATGTAGGGTGAAGGAAAATATGTAGATCTTGACTTCCAACTTTTTATAACATGATATCAGCCGAGAAAAAATGAAAACAGTCTGGTTTCATCCCACTCATCTGCTTCTGTCATCAAGCTAAGGAGCACAGACATGCCTGTATAATGCTGGGAAGAGCCATTAGAGTGACTTCCTAAAAATTATTTTCCCAGCTAGACAATAGGGAGTTATCTGATCTGCTCAGGCATCAGATCAGCATAGATGTAGCACATTTTTCATTCAATTTTCCACCATACCTCCCCCGTGAAGTATTTAAGAGGTGTGCCTGAATGGATGTGAATTGCACTCCTACTCAAAGGAAAGGGTGTGGCCTTATGCTCATATATTCATAGAATAGAACCATTTCAGTTGGAAAAGACCTTTAAGATCATTGTGTTGGACCATTAACCTATCAATACCAAGTCCTCCACTAAACCATGTCCCTAAGCACCTCATCTACATGTCTTTTAAACTCTTCCAGGTGACAATGTATAAGAGACTTCTATTGCACTTACATGATACAGCTTGAAATTGCAGTTATTAAAAAGTTAGTGTAGGTAAGCAAGCTACCATCAAGTGGGTGGAGTCCCAGGGAACAAACACTGCAAAATTGGGTGCCTTTGGACATATTGGGTTTTCATGTTCTTCAGGTTCCTTATAATAATTACTCAGGTGTATGATTTTTCCTTTTAAATTTTTTTTTTTTTTTTTACCCAAACCAGCAGTTTACTAAAGTTTTTTTCCAAAAGGGATGAAGCCAACTGGCTTGACGTATTTGTGATTTCTTTGAGAATCTTGTAACCAGCTGGCTGATTCTGCCAATATTTGACAGAAGAGAATTAACTATTGGAAGTTCAGAAACTTTCAGGTCATGTCACATTGACTGGCAGGCAGAGGGAAAGCACTAAGATCTCCTCACTCTGTCTTGTTGCTCTCTCATTGTTCTCTGCCTTGTTGAGCCAAGATAAAACCAGCAGCATGAACTCAACCCTTGCTAAAGAGGCTGTGTGTAATTTTTGAACTTGCACTGCATTAAGTGAATGGCCAACCTTGAGAAGCTCATGAGAACTTGAAACTATTTCTTATTGTTTCCTGTATATTTGAGAGAAATTATCAATTTTGGGTAGAGAAGACAGTAATAATTTGAGGAAGTGACTAGCATAGAACAAGTCTGATCTAGTTATATTTTACAATATCATATACTCAACAGTCTGATCTAGTTATTTGTAGCAGTACTGTTAGGTGTTCTTTGCTATTTGAGAGACATTTGAGTATACTTGGTAGTTTTGGGGTTCAAGTTGTTCATTAGTATAATACATAAAAATGAAAAGCAGTTTGGAAAGAAACCTTACTGGCATCATTGTCAGTAACTATACATGAGCAGTTAATTAAATGATTATACATGAGAAAATCAATTTTACAGAAAACAGTTTAAAGAATAATATGCCTTTTTCTTGTCTATTCACTTTGAGTTTATTTTAATGTAAGGCTCCTTTGAGCAATAACAAAATTGCAAACATTAGAATTTTGAGGAATAATACATTTTCATATAATTCCTCTCAAGACATTTTTTGTCAAGGTACTTCATTTTCTGAATAGCAAAGATTCAATGTATGGTAATAAAAATAAAGATCTACCAAGAATTTTATAATAATCTTTTATTTTTATATCAACATGAAATTAATATCTTTAGCTTGAAAAGCTCTCCTGTGTAGTATTACTGCCTGTATTCCAACAAGACACAACAGAGATAATGTTTTTACTGAGCTTCATGTTGTACCAAAACCAAAGTGAATGTCTCCTGTTAGGTTAACTCCAAAATATTTTTTTTCTATTTAACAGTTATTAGTAAATGTTCAGTTTTCCTAAAGATCATAAAAATTAGATTGAGGATATCAGGCTTACATGTGGGACTCCTCAAGCAGTAATGAAATGAGTAGTATAAGCTTTTGTACTGAATTACATTCTTGCTGGTGATTTCTGTTAAAAATCATTACTATTCACTTTCACAAACTTAAAGCGAATACTTAAGTACTGATTTGTAAAATCATTGGCTAGAACTCTTCATGAAATATACTTTGGTACTTGTTTATCTAAAATATTCTTACATTTATTGTATTTATTCAGACATCTCTTAATAGGAAGTGTACTGCATAGAAAGAAGCTGGTAATGTATCATTAAGCTTTTCATTTTTATGGTATCTTTTCAAAACTAACCTAATTTAATAGTAACTAAAAGTCTTCATCAAAGAGCAGCCAGAGCTCAAGCAAGACAGTTATGTTTATGGGCACTTTTGGGGAAGCTATACTAACCATGGTAGGTGCCATGTTACTAGATGATGAAATTTAGCCTCTTGAGCAGTCTCACTTGAAGATGCCAACATTTATGAATTTTGATGAGCTTACAGTGATAATTAATAAGGCAATTAATTGCCATTTAAAAATTATTTTGATACTTAGGTGAGTAAATTTTCAAATTGGCAACTTTTAAGAATAATACAAACTAAAATATTAGAAACATCTATATTTCATATACACAATTCCATATTTCATGTAGAAAATTAAAAAAATATAAAATTGTTAAGCATGAAAAAAAATGGCAGAAATGGTAAAAAAGTATTATTCTGCTCAAATTATTTTGCCCTTTTGAGTTTTCTAGTGACTTTTATACTAAACAACTGAAATTAATTAATGTGTTAACATTTTGTAAGCTCTATGAAATGAGCTTTTTCAGAATTCTGGTAGTGTGAGTAATGAATCCAAGTTAAACATTCTGGCTTGTTAAGTACGGAACACGATGTCATAGGTTATTATAAAGTATCTTGGCTCCCAACTTTAATAGTGTTTATTTGATGTATTGGAAGGCATGGGTCCCACAATAATTTGGTCATCTTTACTTCATGTTTTAGATTACTGTTTGTTATATACTGTATGTAAATTTAGCTGATGTAATTTACAATATGATGTAATTTACTATTGTATAGGTATTACATTAAATGCATTTTCTATTTGATAATTTTTATGCTGCAGATTTATCTTACTGTATAGCATTTTAGAGGGTTTATGTATTTTAATATTGCATCTGGATTAAATAGAAATTTATAGTAATTACTTAGACGTTATGTCTTATGGTACATTAATTTGCCTAAAATCTTTACTACACAACCCCAAAGCCAGAAGTTGCATCTAGAAATAGAAGAATATTATTTGAAAATGCGTTGCAGTCATTGTTGCTTGAGGTTCTCTTTATTTTCTCACTCTTATTCTCCATCATAATAGAGTGTTTTGTATCTTTGTATCAGTGCATACCATTGTATTGAGTGTTTTGTCTTTTAATTTTCTTTTTTTTTTTTCAGAAAACAACTGACAAACGGAAGGAACATACCATTAACATAGAAGACTTCAGGGCAATTTACCGAACTATTGTACACAGGCAGGAATTTGTTGAACTTTTCCGTGTTTACTCTCCAAACTGCAAAATTATAGCTCACACTGAGCTCATTGAATTCCTCAGAAAAGAACAATATAACACTGATGCTTGTGAAGCAACTGCCTTCGAAATTATTTTGAAGTATGAACCCATTGAAGAAGGTATGTGTAGTCTAAGCATTTGAGTTCTAGCTCTTATTTATTGTGCTCCTGTTAGTGGCTGTGTTTATATATTTGAACACTCACCTGACTAGCTGAACATTTTAAAGAAAACAAATGTAAGCAATTACATTAAAATTATGTGTTGCATAATATCTTTTGTAAACACTTGTACAAAATGTTGATTTTTTGAAATTCATATCTTTAAACATTATGAATATAATAATACAAGAAAACATTAATAAAGCACAATAAATTTACACAGCTTATTGCTCACTAATAGCATGTTACGTTGCTTATTAGACCCATCATTCTTACTCCTTGTTGTAACAGGCTAGCCCAAAACCAACATGTAGACTTTTTCAAACAAAATACAATTTTTTTTTTACAGTAGGTGAGCTAATATAAACTGCACTAAATCTTTTTAACACTCACTGAAACATGTGAATGACCATTATAAGGAAGCCAGACTGAATTTTTTTGTTTAGCTAAGTGTTCAAAAATCATTTTGCTTAGCTAGTTTTAGGAATATGAATATTGTATTAAAAGACAAAAAAAAAAAAAAAAGTTTTGTTAGCAACTGCACTATTCAGCACTGGATATTTATCTTAGAGGAAACCAACTATAATTACATCGATAATAACGAATACATTTTATTTAAAAAAAATCACTATTAATATCTGAAGGCTAAGGACAACATTTTTAAAGACTAGAAAATGACAGAAAGTAATGTTATATAATTTGGTTTGGTTTAACTACTCAGTACTTTAATTCACAATCACAATAAAGAGAAAATAAATTTAGTTGAGCCCACTGTATTTCAAAGTATATTTTACAACCAAGATCATTCTAATCCTGCTTGGGGGGGGTCACATTAATTGTTGCAGCATTGCTGATGTTGTAAAGCTTTTTGCTTGAAGTTTATCTTGGAATTGAAAAGAATATATGCTACTAGAGGTTGATATACTACTTCCATTTTGTACCATTTAAATGTTCCATTTGTTTAATAGAATGTTCTGAGTAAATCATATTTCCTTGCACTTAGTTTGTGTATATTTGAATGCCATATGGAAAAAATATAAAAGTAGAAGTAATCTAATGGAGATTTCACAGAGGAAAACATCTCATGATTTATCCAGTGAGAAGTTATGTCTCTTTCATTTATGAGAAGGACTGAAACCTTAGGCAGTTACTCTCTGGTTTACCCTCAGCTGGTTCTGATAACACTATCAGGGATGCATTGAAGCAGTCTTGCAAATGTGGTGGATCCTCAGCTTTTTCAGTGGGCACAGAGAATGAATATTACTCTGTCTCACCATGTGTCTACTGATGTCATTAACCATGTTATTTGGTTTAAAGATATAATTAATTATTTCTGCTCTCCCAGGAAAAAATGCCATTTCCATTTGTTCTCTGATTAGCTTCTAAGAGTAGGTCTCTAAACACAGACTTCTTCTGTTTCTATTGAACCATAAAATCATTCATGGAACTGTTCACATGGAAAGGGACCTCAGGAGGGCAGCTACTCCAGCCTTCTGCTCAAAGCAAGGTTAACATTGAAATCTGAGGGCTTTTTTTTCAGTCAAAACTTGAAAATCCCTAAGGACAGAGATTCACAGCCTTCCTCATGTGCCTAGAAATGGTTTCTAAGAGTTCTTGCACTATGATTTTCCCAGGGATGAAAGTGTGGCTGGCCAACTGTTAGTTCCCTCAGTTGAATCATAGAATCTTAGAACAGTTTGGTTTTGGAAGAACATCAGAAAATCATCTAGTCCAACCCCCCTGCAATAAATAGGGTCATGTTCAACTAAATTGGGTTGCTCAGAGTCCCATCCAATCTGATCTTTAATGTTTCCATGGACAAGGTATCTACCACCTCTCTGGGTAACCTGTTCCTGTGCTTCATCACCCTCATCAGAAAAAAAATTCTAGACTGAATCTACCCTCCTTTAGTTTGAAACCATTACCCCTTGTTCTATCACAACAGGCCCTATTAAAGAGGTCTATCTCCATCTTCCTCACTAGGCCCCTTTAAATATTGAAAGGCCACAAAAACGTGTTCCTTTCCTGACAGCTTGCCCCATTAAGAAAGATGTTATCACCAATGAACAGCAGACCATCCATACTCTTCCCTCCAATCCTAAATCAAACACCGAGGGTCCAAAGTGGTCAACCACCAGTGGAATGAAAAGTCTCACAAACTCACCCACAGTGCTGGATACAGTGGAAGGAGGGACAAAATAACCAAGGACTCAGGTGATTAGTCCAGAACCAGATGTGTGGCCAAGGAACAATACCACTGTTCCTTCCCATGCTCCCAGCTGTGTTGACATCCCAGCACCACTGGGGGCTCTGCCCACAGGAGGCAGCTGGAGGGGCCCCCTCCCAGTAACAGGCAGTCCTACACAGCATGTTTCCTACACGGGTAAGCCAAATGCCACTGTAAGCAGAGACAGCTTCTATGCTGTTACCTTGGAGGCAGGACATCTGATGTCAATGCCAAAAATGGGGGTCCCTGGTGGTGATCTAATTGGTTCCCACCCAAGGCTGGCTATACCCTGGGTGAAAACCAGTCAGGAAGGTCTTTCTTGCCTGGATGTAGACATCATCTCTATGCTAACCCTTATTCAGGGCTGGGGGTTTAACCCCAGCACTTCAGGTGTCCTGTAAAAAATACCCCACATTTGTAAATATCAACTAAAGTCTCTATAATTCTAATTTAATGTCTGGTTTAAATTTCATATAGTGAGTCAAATGCTTGTTTGTTTCTTCATCTGTGATAAAATTGTTTGTCATTTAGTTGGAAATAATCTTACCGGATGACATATTAGCTGTATTGTTCATGCTCCTTTGAGCAAACTAATACTCCCACTCAAACATACTCACTGGAAAGTTCCACTTATGATTGACATGACACTGGATTCATATAGTGTAGTGAATAAACCGTTTTGTGTAACTGTCATTCTGAACTTGGTGTAGAATAGTCTTCATCAGGATGATCTTTTGGACTCATCTGTCATCCTTGTCCTGTGTATTGCAGAAAGGGAAAAGGGCAGATTTTGACACTTGATTGACTGGCTTGCTAATAGCAACAACCATTACCTAATGAACTTGACAGCACTAGTGCATGAAGATTAAGATGAAAACAGTGACTAGATTTTATAATACAACATTGATAAGTCCATCTATAAGTTTTAGTGCATGCTTAGCATTTGTGTGCAGAGAGAGAAGACTTTTCAATGCTATTGAGCCAGTTAACTCTGAATTTAGTCTCTGAGGGTACTGTAGGTCATTCAGGAATAGTATGTGATGCATTATTCTTCCTTTTTTATGTATAATATAAATGTATAACAGCAAAGTGCTGCATTAACAGATTTTTTCTTTTTTGTGTGCATGCTAAAGCTTTCAATTTTGGCTGAAGGAACCATTTTATGGAACCGATCACAAGAGTGGTGAATATGTTATCCACACCTGACAGCTGTGTCTCACTAACATACAAATGTCAATTTTGTTATACACAAACATTCCATTATCTCTCCATTTTAATACTAATTTTGAATAGAAGTCTTGAGTCGTTAAATGAGACTAAGACAGCATGCCAACTAAATGCATTCTATTCTTTTTATTCTTAGTATCTAACTCTTCTTTTAAAAAAAACTATTGCTCATTATTCAGTATTTGGATGCAGAAGATTAGAGGCACACTGAGTTTATGAAGGTGCATCCCACTATTTACAGTGTTAAGTCTCTTTAGTTTCCTGCTATGCAGAACAAAGACAAGCCAAAAGTAAGATCTTGTCTTGTAAAACTTGCTTACTTCGTAGGTAACAACTTAATCTTAGGACATCTGCCAGATAAAGAATTTGAGTAATCCAGAATGTATTTGTGAATCAGAAAAAAAAACCCCCTTCAGTTTATTCCTTGGTCATATATTCTTTTAAACTTGTGGGTTTTTTTGTCTGTGTATGTGTGTCCATGTGAGTGTGAGAGACAGAGCAGAGGGAGAGCATGTGTTTGCAGGAGTGAACTTTTGATACCATTTATGATTGGAAAACAAACTTAATGAAGTAGAGACCTCAGTCAAACTCCTACAGGTTTCACAAAAAGAATTGTGTGAAATAAGAAAGATTACTTAAAAATCTCACTAAAACAATGGCTGAAATTGGATTTACGAGGCACAAAAATTCAGATATGTCAAAGAGTGTGCAAATATTCAGTTTTAGGAAAAGCTTTCACTAGAAGATAACAATCTGTTAGGAGATGTAAGCCCTTAGAAAATTAAACTGCAGCTCAGGCAGATACTTTATTACAGTGTCCACCCATATAAGTTACAAGTGTGGGTCGGGTGGAAAATAGACTCCTTACAATAGAATCTCAGAGTAGAAAAGGAATAACTGAATCCTTACTTTAGCTAAGGAAGTATTTATGTCTTTACTGTTTAAGCTTTAAATGTTTTAGTCTGACATTAAGTAGCCAGTTTTCATAGTATGCAATTCCATCTGATAATGTTTCTGCCTTGAAGCTGTTGTTGTTTGATATTTTAAACAATTATTGAAACTTCCTTTTTCCAATATAGCAGAGTAACACCCTTGTCTCCAATTACAAGTATTTCTCATGAATTCGCCCCTAAAATTCCCAGCAGACATATTTGTATCCATTTCAGTATCTTTGGTTGCCAAGTAATATAAACTTTTAACTGCTAATACGGCTATTTATAAACAATGAACACACATATTTAAAAACAGGGAAAACATCTTTCTCCACATTTCCCAAGCTCAAATTCAGTTCCGGTTCCTCTCCTCCCCAATTCCTGGTCTTTAATTCAGTCCAGACACTTCTTCTCCCACTTTGTCATTGCTGCAGGTTGTACTCAGTCCCTTCAGCGAGGAAACAGGTGTTGCAGAAGGCTGTGGTCGATGCATAGTGGTTTCTTTCTGCAGCTCCCCCCTTAGTCACACTTTTCTTTTACTATTGCTTCCTTCTTTCTTGTTCTGTCTGCTTCAGCATGGATCCTTCACAAGCCTCAGTTCCCTCAGGGCAGCAAACATCTTATGAAAGCTTTTTCCTTTTTTTTCCTTTTCATAAAGAGAGAAAATATTTTCAAAGAAGTTCCAAGATAAAAAAGAAAGCAGGATGTAATAAAGTTTAAAGAGCATAGGTATAGAATGTATGTCAAGTCTTTTAACTATTCGGATTATATCCATAATTCCTTTCTGATACGGCAGTATTTGTATATATGGCAGAACTGGTGTTTACCTTAACTGGGGGAAGGTGGATAAACCCTTTTTAAAAATTATGTTAGGAAAAAAAGATTATTATTAATAAACTGTATTCCAGAATGTCCAAAAGGGGAGGACAAGGAAAAAAAAAAAAAAAAAAAAAAAACCAACATTTAAATTCGTAAACAAGAAGCTACAAGAAAACAGAAAACTTTTCTTGTTTTCTCTTTCTTTCTCCGCTAAATTGATATGAGCACACACTAACTACTGCTGAAGGATACTAACAGAGAAAAAGACTGAGGCTTCTCAAGGGAAGAAAAGTGAGGCCTTAAGAAAGTATACTATCATTGTGAAATACTTATGGGCAGGAATTCCCATTTCTTTACCTGTAGAAGTAGAGAATATCTGTAAATGGTCAGGAAATACTACGACTGCTATTCCTCAACTTAAAAAGCACCCTCTTCCATTCATAACTAGTTTTGGTATCTTCACCAGGCAAAGATGAGAGGTCTAAAGAAACCCAGTAGGTTCTTTCTACTGGTAAGAGAGAGGAAGAGAGAGGAGGGAATTATTATTAAAAATCATAAAAAAAACTAAGCCTAGTTCTATCTTAAACCTTTGAAACTATATCTTCTAGCAGTCATCAGATCTCTGAAAATTTTAGATGATATGCCATCCGTGTACATGCGATGCTTTTGAATATCTCATTTCACAGAACTGCAAATGCTGCCAGAACTGTTGGTGCAAATCCACTCTCTTCCTGCTTACAGATAGGTCTTATCATTTTACAAACTTCCTTGGAGTTTTGTTAGTTCTCCAGAAACATGACAGTGACTTTAGTAGCATGTAGTTCAAAGATAGCAACTACAGATCCCTGAGAAAAACAAAAGTATTGTAAACCAATGTAATATAAGGGCCTGTAATAAGCTGTATAAAAACCCAAATATTTTTAGTTCATTAATTAGAGACATGAGCTGAATGTTGTACTGAAGTCAAAGAGCTTACATGTTGGCTAACAAAGTAGCACAAATTTAGTTTATAATGTTTAAATTTTTAGGGGATTATGGTCATGAGATTATTTATCTAAACATAAGTTCTCTCCTTGAGAACTCTGTAGCTATCTTTTATCAATTACAAGAGCAGCCAGGAAAGCATCAAAAATAACTCGGAAAATAAGCAAAACTTTGGAAGGTCAGTACTAATTTAAAAGAGAAATATAAAAAAAAAAATAAGGCATGTAAGAATTTTTAGTAAATGAAAAAAAAATAACCAACAAACCAAAAAAAAATTGAGTTACTGTCTCAGCTTGTAATTACACAGAGAAATGGATAGAACACGAATAGAACCTGAAAAATAAATTAATCAGAAATGAAAACCAGACACTATTGATGAAAAGCCTTCTTGACAAAGGAATTAAGCCTACAGTTCATGTAATTTATTACAGATGAAGCAAACAGGATGAATGCATTTTGTTTAGAGCAACATGTGAAAAATTCAAAATATATTGTAAATACAGAGAAAGTAGAAACATAATCTTACTGCTACAAGTATAAAACAATATAAAATATGCATGTGGATAAATAGAAGAAGTCAAGATACTAAATAAGATACAATTATCCAGTCATCAGGGTAGCAATAAGTCATTCTGCAAATATGTTAATAAAAAAACCCAAGGAAATTCTTGATCCACTACCTAAGTACAATCAGGTGGCTAATATTGCTAATGAGACCAGAGTAACATATCAGTCCAAAATATGAAAAAAAAAAAGGGTAGGATGTGCTTAAATGACTAATTGAGATCAGTGCAGACAGGCTGGTAAATCTGAGTTCTTAAAAAATTAACTGCAACAAGCTTGGCTAATGCAGGTTACCTTTGAAAACATGTGGGACATAGATGATGAATTGAAATACTGGGAAAGACCCAATGTAAGATCTATTTCACAAAGGGAACATCCGAGGAACTGGACACCAGTCAGTTATCAGGAAAAAGAAAAGGAAAAAATAATGAATCTGCAATCACCTCAAATATGGTAAGGACGAGCAAAAGTTTGTGAGGACATTCCATGAGGAAATGGTATCCAGTTTTCTTCTATGAAAGAGTAACACTGCTGGTGGATAGAAGAAAACTCATACTTTTTAATACTGTCTTGCATTCTAAAAAGCAAGCTGAAGAAGCAGGCAAAGTAACAAAACAGTACACAAGCAACTCATTAGAAAATTACTCTGAGAAGTTAGTCGTCAGTGACTTGGAATCAACTGAAAGGCTGCACCAATCTAGTTTCACAGAGCATTGCATGGGGTTCCAGACTTCAGTGATATCATTGGTAAGATGGATGACGGAATAGAAGTTAATCTCATTAGATATATATTTGACACCAGAACTTGAAGTGTAATAGGGAACAAGATTGGCAGTCAAAGGAATCTTGGCAAATTGATGCTATAGAAGGATGGGATTCAATAAAAAGAAACACTACATTCCATTTAGGACATCAAACATCAAGATGGAAGTTCACCAGACAGAGAGTTATAGAAGAAAAAGGAAAATTATCAGAAGCCTGAGAAAAGCTAGCCTAAACAAAAAGGTGCACTGAATTAGATTTCTTTCTTGTGGAAAGCAGTGAAATGAAGAGCAGTGTAATAGCAGTCTTTGCTATTAAAGACTGTTTAAAAAAGCAAGAGGAATAGTACAAAACAGAACAAGTATTTTGGACAGCAAGGAAGTTTCAAGGTAAACATGGAAAACTTTCTAACAATAAGGTTACTTAGGTACTGAAATGGGGTTACTAAGATGTCTGTGGATTCTACATCAATGAGTCTTTAAGAATAGTTTCGACACAATTCTGGCAGGAAAAACATTTGTACAGTTAAGGGCAACAGTGTATGAAGTCTGGAGGGCCTTCATCTTTATTTTCTATTTCTGTTTAGCGTTTTAAAACATTGCAAAGTTTTCTAGTTTAAAAGATTGTGTAATTTAGAAATAGTTATTTTCTTTGTGTTGCCATCATCAGAATGATTTTCACAATTTCTCATTTAGTCAGAAAACTTTCTACACATCCTGAAGACTGAAAATTGCAATTCCAACTTGTAAACTGTGATTCCTACAGCTTTATTGAGAATTAATAGGTCAGATAAATGTTTTGAGTGCTGAAGTTTGGTTCGAGTTTTTTGTTTGCCAAAAGTTTTTATATGTTGACCTCTTTACATTATCACTAACTAAAAGTAATCATGGACTACCTACTGCTTAATTATCGCCAGCCTATGACGGTGACAATAATAGGGTTATTTTAGAGCCAGAACCAAGCAAAAGCCCTGACTAATTCAAACTAGGTCATGTTTTGAAGCAAAGATGACTTCTGAGATTATATAATTTGCAAAATTGTTACTTTTGAAGTATGACATTGGAGCAGAAGCTCGCAGGATAATGGGACTGTTTGTCATTAAATCAGCTAAAACCAAAATGGAATGACTATCACTGATATGGAGGTAATTACCACATTTTGTTATAGATGCAGTAACTTAATAAGCTTGGTTTGAAATTCATCTTTGTGTGCAGTCATTTACTTTGTTAAGATTCTATTTTTATTTCAAATACTTCTAATTTAAACATTATTTCATCAGTATTTATTTGGAATATTCCAGCACTGAGGAAGATATTTAGGGCTAGGAACTATCATTTCTTCAATATCTCTGACTGACATTTTGGAGAACAATTCCTGTTCTTTGTACAGAGAAGAGAAGATTCTCTTTGTGCATTGACTGGCATGTTACTTCCCAAAACTAAACAACAAATATTTTCCTTTATATTTAATTAGGAGTACTGAAAATTCTTCTTACTGTTGTCCATAGAAGAATAAAAACTTCAAGACACATTTATTTCCTCTCATAATTTTGAACAACAGAAATGCAGCTCCAGAACAGCACACATATAACATTTGTGTTTATATAGTTGGTTATGAATTTTAAAATTGCAAGAAAGTGTTATGCTATATAACCTTTAGCAATGCTCAGTATTGGCTATTAAATATTATGGAGCGTACAGAGATATAACCATCAGTTTAGTTTCACACCAGGAAATTTTTTCTCTTTTTTTTGCCCAGTGAGGAAAAGAAGGCAGATGTCGTTTGAAGGATTTATAAGGTACATGAGCTCAGAAGACTGTTCGATATTTAAAAAAAATCAGAGGACCGTCTATCAAGATATGAACTACCCATTATGTGACTATTTCATTTCATCTTCTCACAATACCTATTTGATATCTGACCAACTAATAGGGCCCAGTGATCTATGGGGATATACCAGGTATTTAGATACTGTTTTTAATTATTTTAAACATTCTTTGGCTTTTTTTTTTTAATTATTTTTAATGAATACTCTCACATATAATCTTGCTTGGCAATAAGGAGCAAAGCCACCACAGATACAAGTACAAAATGCAAGAGTGGTATTTTATTTTGTGTGTACACTTTTCAATATATTTGCCAAACCATCTGTTCATAGTCTGGAAACAATCTATTTTTTTCACTGACATCTCAAAAAATCCACCTCACAGCAATTAAAATCTATACTGTGCTGCACAGTATATAATTAAATCAGTTTTTAATCTCAATATGCCACGTAAAAATAAATAACTCCCTGAAATAAATATGAAATTCCTGGGTAAGCTCTAATCTGATCAGTATACAGGATTTAAGGGTGCAGTATGGTGGAGTATGTCAGTGATCAATGTACACTGCAATGAGGTTAGATTAGAAAAAAAACAACAACAGAAAAATATGGGCACTATAGTAGCCAGGATGGAGCAGAAGCTTTGTCTTCCAATGTACAGCATATGTCTCCAAGAGCAGTATGAAAACAGGATGCCTGATTGCAAAGACACGTTTAGAAGAAACTATCAGAGCAGGAGAAAATGTTTTATGTAATAAAGGCAGAACAGAGGGGGACAGACAGTATGAAAAATTTGGAAGACAGGTGTCCAGCATTCCTATTACTTTGTACTACTTTATAGAACAGTTGGAACCATCATCTGTCTGAACATTTTTGGTTTGTTTTTTCTCTATACTCTGTAATATCTTGCAACCATCAGAAACACTAGTGAATTTATTTTGAACAGTATTTTAAAGGATATGACATTGACATTGCATCGCTTAAAGTAATTACAAAGAAGATATAACCCTTTTTCCTCTTTATCTGTTGTGTGAGGAAAATATAAAATACTAAAATAAGCTGGAAGTATCTCTGAGAGATTGTTAGTATGTAAAGAACTGCATATAAAAGACACTGGTAATTAGGTAAAATAGTCTATAAGAAATGTTTAGATGAGTAACAAGCCAAATATTTGAAAACTAAGACCTCTAAGGGGTGCCATTAACATATTAAAAATTAAAACAGAGTAAATATAAAGCAGCCGAGAAACTTTAGCACTCCCTTTTAGAAATAAGTTGGGGGGAGAACAACTGAATCATGTAAAGACCAAGCACAACTTGATTCTCTAAGTGTGATGAAGTTATTTTAAGTTATTCTAGACTTGCAGACGAATCCTGGAATAGTAATAAAATGTGCCCTTTCAAACCTTTCTTTTTCTATTTTAAAAAACAATTTGCCATTATTCAAAAATTCTGTTATATAAAACTTTGACCCTCCTTATTAGTCTCTTAGTGAAGGTTATTCAGATAATACATCTTATTCCTTAAGGCTTTAACAAAGTTAAACACTTCTATAGGATTTGTCTTCTTTTGTGATGAAATAGTAGGACTTTTGGTCATTATTTAATATGCTTGTAATCAGAAATACAGCACCTTGTATAAGAAAGTGTGGTATCTTTCTTTTAACATGTAGAATTGTTTCTCTTGTTCTTTTGAAGTGCTCTCTTAAAAGGATGTCGTTGCCTGGAAATTGACTGCTGGGATGGCTCCAACAGTGAACCTGTTGTGTACCATGGTCACACTTTGACAAGCAAAATCCTGTTCCGTTCTGTAATCCAAGTGGTGGAGCAGTACGCGTTTGTGGTACGTGCATCTGCCTGCCTACCCCTCTGCTGCCTGAAGTGTGATGGTGATTTTAACAAAGACCAGGGACACGGCCATTTTCAGAGGTTCTCCAGGAAAAAAAAAAATGAAACAGACAGGGCTAGTGGCAGTGGGCATTGTTGAAAAAAATTACAGGAAAATTGTGCTATCTGTTCTTAATGCCTTTTGAAAAAAATGATCTAAGGAACACTAAACATATTTTGCTGGTAATGATTCTAAACCAAACTTGATGCAAGGAATTCAGAAGCTCTTACTCAGCTTTTAGGTCGAATTGTTACCTGAGGTCATTTAAGCAAGGAGTGATTACGAAGTGAACAACTACTCCAGAATCAGACTCATGTTTTATCTTTCTTTATATGTCCTTCCTTATATCTTTTGATTTTTTTACTTCACTTATTCTTCTATTGCTATCAGTCTGCCTTATATCCTCTGCTTGTACTTATGAAATAGAAAAAAGTGTTAGATTATAGCTGTTTGAGACTTACTCTCTTTTCCATTTCCTCTCCTTTTATTTAAATTCAAGGCCTGATAAAGGTTACCATCTATTGCTGTCTTTTTGTCAGATGACTCATTAGGGTAATGACCCTTCTGCCTAACTCTGACAAGGCAGTGAATGCTGGAGAGCTTTTGGCACTGTCTCAGTCTTTTGGATAGGTTTCTGGCAAAACTGCTGCTCAGATAAAGTCCTGGATGGCTGCTAAGATAACTGTTTTATTCAGACCAGCATAGCATTATGTGTGTAAACAGATACACCTATGATCATACATGTATATGGATTCTCATACATATATATTTATAGCCTTATAAATATATTT